ACTCGCCGCCCTCATTGGAGTGCTCCATCAGTGTTTCCCTCTTGGCACCGACAGCAGCCGTCGCCTTCGACGAAGGCCTCGCAGGATTGGTGAACAGCCTCAGGCCCTTACCCCGAGCCTTGGCGTCATATTGACGGAGAGTCTTGGCGTCGTGGACGTGAGACTCAACCACACTGATGAAGTCGAACGACTTGGACACAAGCCAATTCCAGCACTTCTCCCCCATGCACGTGACGTTAGCATAGAACCAGCGGCTATGCTCCCCTGCCGCCCCCTCGGGCGGCTCCGATGCCCTCGGCGAAACACCAGATAGTCAAGAGCTGGCGTCGCTCGGGGGGGCTGCGAAGCCCTTGCCGTTGCTCTTGCCATTCAACTTCTGCGCCTCCGCGATGAACTTGGCCTCGGACAGCCGCTTGGCCTCGTCCGCGATCTGCTTCTCCTTCACTGCTTGGGCCTCCTTGACCTTGGCCTCGGACTTGGCGGCGTCCGCGCCTGCAGCGGCAGCCCCGCCATGCGAGACTCCTCCTGAGGAGCCTGCTGCCGCCGCCTTGGGCTGCTGGGCGCCGTCGCCGCTCTCGCCACCCGCCATGGCCTGGCCGTCGGCCCCACGCCTCTTCTTGAGGAGGCGTTGCTCAATGTCCTTCTTCACTGACTCCATCTGCTCGAGCCACGCCTTGACCTCGGCCTCCTTGGAGGCCATGGCGCCCCGCGTGGCCTCCAGGTTCTTCTTGAGGCTCCGCAAGGCCTCGCGCTCGTGCTCCTCACACTCCATGTTCTCGATCTGGTCGAAGAACTTGCAATCCCAGCTGATGTGGAAGATGGGCTTGTCGGCGGCTGGCCCGTCGGCAGCAGTCGTCGCAGAGATGGTCTCAACGCCCTCGGCGTGCGCCACCGCCTGTGCTGCTGCCTTGCGGGCCATTGTGGCCTCCGCCACTGCCCGAGCCGCCGCCGTCTCCTTCTCCTCAGCCACCGCGAGCTGCTTCCGCAGCCGCAGCACATGTGAAACCTGTTGCGAATGACGATGCTCAGCATCTTTGCATACCCCCTCAGCTCGACGAAGTGCTTCCACGAGGGATGGCTCGTTCTTGGGCTTGGCCTCTGCAGCCAGTCTGTCCACCTGCTTGCGCAGGCAGCCGATGAGCTCCTGGTCCTCCGTCGCCTTCAGCGCCTGGTCCAGGATGGCTGCCACGTCCGCCCCTGCGCCGCCGTGGCCGCCCTTGTTGTTGCCGCGGCCCTTGCCACTGCCCCACTTGGTCCCTCGCGGGACCACGAGCTCCTCCTCGCTGTCCGACACGTCGAAGGTGACTCGCCGAGTTTTGTACAAGGGAACTCGAGACCCACAGCCACGGCAGGAGCATCCTGCCTTGGTCAGCTCGGCGTTGTACTCGCACACTCCGCAATCGGGGCACCTGCTCCACGGGCCTCGACTCCTCCGTGGGACGGAGGATCCCCTAGCCATTGCTTCTCCCCTGCTTTGGTCGAGATCTGGCGCTATGTTCAGAAGGTGGTGCGCGCCCAAATCTAGTCACTCAAGTGCCTCGGTGCGGCACAGGGGAAGGAGGCCAAAACAACATGACTTGACCCCCAATACTTGAGAGGAGCAGGAAGGGAGGAGGAGGAGGAGGAGGAGGAGGGGGGGGGGGGAGTGGGAGGAGGGAGGAGGAGAAGAGATGGAGGGAGGAGAGGAGCAGGAGGAGGAGGAGAGGAAGGCACGAGGATGAGGAGAGGAGGAGGAGGAGGAGGGAGGAGGAGGAGGAAGGAGGAGGAGGAGGAGGAGGAGGAGGAGGAGTAGGAAGAGGAGGAGGAGGAGAGGAGGAGGAGATGAGGAGGATGAGGAGGAGGAGGAGGAGGAGGAGGAGGAGAGGAGGAGGAGGAGGAGGAGGAGGAGGAGGAGCAGCGAGTGGAAGCGAGTAGGAGCAACCAATTCTGGAGGCTTCGGCTCTCGACGGAAATGGGAGGTATAGGGCGGGGACAAAACCTCTCCGAAAATTAATGAGTATTGCCTCTCCGGGCCTTCTTGAGAGTCCTTGTAGGGCTCTTTTGACCCGACTGAGGGCCCCCTTTGGCCGTCCTTAGGCGTTCTTGAGCTGTCTTATGGGGCTTGGGCCGTCTTGGGGTGCTCTTGCAGATCCGTCGTGGCGACCCCCCCCGTCCTCCAGCGCATCTACAGAGGGCCCCTCTGTAAAAGCCGCAAGCGGGGGATGCGTATCTGGGTGGCGACCCCCCCCCCCCCGGACCCCCCCCCGGGACCCCCCCCTCCCCCGGCGGGACAGGGATCAAAGGGAAGGGGCTTCCCTTCGACGCATTTACGACGTTGCTGATTTTCGTTTTGGTTGGCGCGCTTGGGGAGGAGGGGGAGGGCTCAGGGCAAGGGCGGGTAGCGCCACACGCCGACAGGGTCGGCGGATTTCTCGGGCACCCGCATATTGAAACAAAGCCAAGGCGTATAATGCTTCCCAAAAACCGGCGATGTGATGTTTCAGCCCGCGGCCCGGGAGGTCCCGACCCCTTCCCCTTTGGGCAGTTTTGCGTCCCATGTCCGTGCCTGATGGCCCAAGAGGCCCGACAGCGGGCCCCTGAGGCCACACGAGGCCGAGATCGGATAAAAGCCGCGATTGAATGCATCAGGCCGTCGGAGATCTGCGTCCCTGGTGGCTCCGAGGGCACCGCTCCGGTCGCCGATCGGAGCGCTCATGCGGGCCCCCGTGGGGGCGCTTTCGACGAGGCGCAGCTGTTGGACGAGGCACGCCGAAGCGAGGAAGCCCCCACGAGCCCACGAGAGCGTCCGAAGTGACCTGCACAACCGTGGTGCAATTTGGTCCGCCCGCACATCAAGGGGGCCGAGCAGGAAGAAAGGGAGGATGGAGAGACATATTTTGAAATTAGATGGAAGGGGAGGAGTGGGAGGTGTAGGAAGAGGAGGAGAAGGAGGAGGAGGAGGAGGAGGAGGGAGGAGGAGGGAGGAGGAGGGAGGAGGAGGAGGAGGAGCCTCGATCCTCGAGGTGGCGGCGTCCTCGCGGCGTCCAGGCCCGGGAGCGGGCTGGAGCTCCGCCGCAGCCGCCGCTGCGGCGGCGGCGCTGCTCCGAGGAGGAGGTGCCGATGCCGCTGCCCTTTTGCCTCGCTCTCGCCCGTGTGGGCCTCCTGGGATGCGCTCGTTACCACCGCTGGCTTCGCCTCGAAGTTTTGGTCAGAACGCACCCTCTGGAGAGGTCTTTGGGAGTAGCGGCGTCGGTGCCTTTTGGTTTCCCCAGCTGCGGCGGCGCCGCCGGCACGCGCGTGGGGCTCCCGGCGCTCAGCACGGTTCAGGAGTCGGCGGCCTCGTGCCCACGGCGTGTGTCGGTGGCTCGTCCTGGCGCGCCCTGCCCGAGGCATCGTCCGGTGTGCCATGTGAGGCGCCCCGTGGGGAGCACTCCGAAGGGGCCAGGCCGCGGTGCGAGAGCGTCGGACCGCGCCCTCTCCTGGCCTCCCCAGTCCAGCTCCCGCCACGCCTGATGCTCCTCCGCCCCAACCTCCCCCTCCCAAACCTCCTCCTCCTCCTCCTCCTCCTCCTCCTCGTCATCATCATCGTCATCGTCATCGTCATCGGTCATCATCGTCATCATCGTCGTCGTCATCATCATCGTCGTCATCATCATCCTCATCCTCAGGGCCTCCTACCAAATCTGATCCTCCCACCAACCTCTTCCTCCTTCCAGAACCTCATCCTCGTCCTCCTCAACCTCCTGCTCCTCATCCTCCTGCTCCTCCTCCTCCTCCTCCTCCTGCTCCTCCTCCTGCTCCTCCTCCTTCCTCCTCCTCCTCCTCTCCTCCTCCCCCTCCTCCCCCTCCTCCCTCCTCCTCCTCCTCCTCCTCCTCCTCCTCCTCCTTCTCCCCTAACATCCCCTTTCTCCAGAGTTTGACAGGAACTGCTATGCCGCTTCGTGCTTCTTGAAGTCAACGTGTGTTCTATGTTAGTTAAGATCACAGTCGGGCTTTGTCATCACAAGTTTGCTTTGGCCGTTGGTGGGTTGACCTTCCACCTCATTCAGGGACCAGACGCCTTCAAGGCTGTGTAATCCACCAGTATCCTCTAAAGGAGGTCGAGTAGGAGAGGGGAGGTAAACAGTTGTTCCTCCTCCTGATCCCCCTCTTCGGGCTGAGGGTTGCAGAGTGCGCTGGGAGGTTGGGACTCTTCCTTGGAGTGGTCGACCCGGGGGTGATTCATGAGGGCCCCTGGGTCCCGTCGTCGCCGTGCTCCTCATCCTTCTCCTCCGACGCATGAGCAGAGAGAAGCTGCGAGACCTGTTTCCGCTCCCCGCGTTCTCTGCCCCCTCTTTGCCTCCTCGTGCAGCGTCTGCCCTCTCGTCCTTCGCTCGGTCCCAGCGCTCGGTCTCGGGCCCTCTGTGTACTGCAACGTGCTCTTGGGCCCAGTCGGGCGCCCCTGCCAGCGCCGCCCTGATGGCGCATCAGCCAGCGCTTGCGTTCGATACATTCGAAACAGCAGCATGCGAGCATCACGTGCAGTCGTCAGGGCTAGATTTGAGGCAGCGCGTGCACGAGTCACGGCTTCTACGTCGTCCGAAGATGCCCGAGTGGCTGCGGACGAAGATGCATGGGGAGGAGGATGGGGACACCGCTCACGAAAATGGCTGGGAGGAGGAGGGTGGTGGAGAGGGTGAGATGGCGGACGAGGGACAGAGAACGATGGAAAGAGGGAAGGCGGGCAGAGAGAAAGAGAAAACGGGAGATAGCGGGAGGGATAAGACAGACTTCCGACGGCTCTCAAGGCTCCCAGGAGGCCCCCGAGAGGCCCCAAGAGAGTTCCCGGAGGCGTCCCGGGAGCGCCCGAAGAGGCCCAAATCGTTGATTCTGATTGTTTGTTTTGTTTTCGGTGTTTAGCCTTCTCGCGCTTTCGAGCTTCCAGCGCTCCAAGATTGCCGAAAAGTCCCCCAAGGCATTCGGGCTCAAGCTTCCCGAGTGGCCAGTGTATGTGACGTGCCCCACACCCTGCCACGAGGAGCATGCAACCCGCATGGGTAGACGACATCAGTCCCCAAACCCGTCCTGTGGATCACGCCTCCTACCCGCCACTGACGCCAGAGGAGGTTGCTTACATACCTGTGTGGCACTGTGAGGACGGGGGCTTGAAGTTGCACGGGCGCACGGTGTGCCAAGGTGCCGCTGGAGACGAAGCGAACACGACGGTGCTGGCGAAGGTCTTCCTCTGCATGCGCACCAGCCTGGACGCCGCCGAGTCGAGGGCCATGGGGGTCATCAAGAACTTGCCCAGCAGGTGCAGAGAAGAGGACGTGCTAGATATGATGTCGCAGCTGGGCTTTGGATCCGATATCACCGCTTTCGAGATGCCGACGCGCGTCGGAAAGGGCAACAGAAAGCTGAACAGGGGGTTCGCATTCGTGTACTTCCGTGACGAGGGGGTGTGCCGGCGGTTCGTGCAGGACGCGGAGGGGTACCGCGGTTTCGGGGAGCATTCCAGCAGCAGGGCCATATCCGTAACCTTCTCCTCGGATTTCTCCGGCGGAACGACGGGTGGTCCTCGGCAGGAACGTCCGGGAAGACGGAGGGCGAGTTGACAGTGGCGTCCTGCCAGTAGGGTCTTCTTGAAAGAGGAGCCGGTCCGTGCGTCTCATGAGGCCGAGTCGGCACCGCACGATTCTGCTACGGCAGCTGTCAATTGTGTCTCTCGGCCCATCGCTGAGCCAGCAGGACAGTCGTGTGTGCACACATGTGGGACTTCCCTGCTTCATTTTTCGTCAGCTTCAAGCCTCTGACCAGGGACTGGCGCGTGTGCGCCGCAATCTTCAGATTCTCCAGCCTCTGCAAAGGCCATTTTGTGAGTTAGAACTTTCTTGCACACAAACTTGTCACCCAAACAGCTCGCGCCACATATGCTGTGTACAACCTCGCACCACATGTACTGCACCAGCTGGCTTGCACCTCACAGTGCAACAAAGACAGGATGGTGGGGGAGTGGTAGAGGTACTTTGGGGAGGGGGAGCTCGCGCACCATTACCCTTCACACTGCACCGGTCCCTTGGAGATCGGCTGTCTGTCTGATCGCCGCCTGCTTCTACCAGCCTCGCGCCCCCTTCTACTCTTAATCCTCCGTAAGGGCTTCGCCCCATGCCGCCGGCCCCCTGTCTCGGATAATGGGAGATGCAAAAGCTAAATCATGAGGTCTGGGCGCCGCCGTGAAGCAGTGTCGGGACCTATTTGTTTTTCGACCCTGACCTTACGGATCTGCGTCACGGGTGCCACCGAATTTCAGAAATGTAGCAAATCGCGTGTGGTTTTGGACCCTGACCCTACGGATCTGCGTGAGGGGTGCCGCCGAATTTCAGATTATCCCGGCAAATCAACCTAACAGCGATGTGTAGGAGTATATCTGGAAGCATTCCCCTTCAGATTCAGATGAGAAACCAGTTGTAGAATTCTGCTGTTCTCGCAGTCGTAGTCGCATTCGCGATGACAGTCGCAGTGGCAACGGCAGTCGCAGTCACAGCCTCAGCCTCAGCCTGCCTCAGCCTCAGCCTCAGCCTGCCTCAGCCTCAGCCTGCCTCAGCCTCAGCCTCAGCCTGCTTCAGCCTCAGCATCAGTCTGCCTTCAGCCTCGGCCTCAGCCTCAGCCTGCCTCAGCATCAGCCTGCCTCAGCCTCAGCCTCAGCCTGCCTCTGCCTCAGCCTCAGCCTGCTTCGGCCTCAGCCTCAGTCTGCCTCGAAGTTTTGGTCAGAACGCACCCTCTGGAGAGGTCTTTGGGAGTAGCGGCGTCGGTGCCTTTTGGTTTCCCCAGCTGCGGCGGCGCCGCCGGCACGCGCGTGGGGCTCCCGGCGCTCAGCACGGTTCAGGAGTCGGCGGCCTCGTGCCCACGGCGTGTGTCGGTGGCTCGTCCTGGCGCGCCCTGCCCGAGGCATCGTCCGGTGTGCCATGTGAGGCGCCCCGTGGGGAGCACTCCGAAGGGGCCAGGCCGCGGTGCGAGAGCGTCGGACCGCGCCCTCTCCTGGCCTCCCCAGTCCAGCTCCCGCCACGCCTGATGCTCCTCCGCCCCAACCTCCCCCTCCCAAACCTCCTCCTCCTCCTCCTCCTCCTCCTCCTCGTCCTCCTCCTCATCATCATCATCATCATCATCATCATCATCATCATCATCATCATCATCGTCATCGTCATCGTCATCGTCATCGTCATCATCGTCATCATCGTCGTCGTCATCATCATCGTCGTCATCATCATCCTCATCCTCAGCCTCATCCTCATCCTCATCCTCATTCCCATCCTCATCCTCATCCTCATCCCCAGCCTCATCCTCATCCCCAGCCTCCTACTCCTACTCCTCCTCCTCCTCCTCCCCACCCCCCCTTCCTCCCTCTCCTCCCCAACCTCCCCCTTCCCCTCCTACCAAATCTGATCCTCCCACTCCTCCCCTTCTCCCCCCCTCCTCCCCCGCCTCCCCAACCTCTTCCTCCTTCCAGAACCTCATCCTCGTCCTCCTCAACCTCCTGCTCCTCATCCTCCTGCTCCTCCTCCTCCTCCTCCTCCTGCTCCTCCTCCTGCTCCTCCTCCTCTTCCTCCTCCTCCTCCTCTCCTCCTCCTCCCCCTCCTCCCCCTCCTCCTCCTCCTCCTCCTCCTCCTCCTCCTCCTTCTCCCCTAACATCCCCTTTCTCCAGAGTTTGACAGGAACTGCTATGCCGCTTCGTGCTTCTTGAAGTCAACGTGTGTTCTATGTTAGTTAAGATCACAGTCGGGCTTTGTCATCACAAGTTTGCTTTGGCCGTTGGTGGGTTGACCTTCCACCTCATTCAGGGACCAGACGCCTTCAAGGCTGTGTAATCCACCAGTATCCTCTAAAGGAGGTCGAGTAGGAGAGGGGAGGTAAACAGTTGTTCCTCCTCCTGATCCCCCTCTTCGGGCTGAGGGTTGCAGAGTGCGCTGGGAGGTTGGGACTCTTCCTTGGAGTGGTCGACCCGGGGGTGATTCATGAGGGCCCCTGGGTCCCGTCGTCGCCGTGCTCCTCATCCTTCTCCTCCGACGCATGAGCAGAGAGAAGCTGCGAGACCTGTTTCCGCTCCCCGCGTTCTCTGCCCCCTCTTTGCCTCCTCGTGCAGCGTCTGCCCTCTCGTCCTTCGCTCGGTCCCAGCGCTCGGTCTCGGGCCCTCTGTGTACTGCAACGTGCTCTTGGGCCCAGTCGGGCGCCCCTGCCAGCGCCGCCCTGATGGCGCATCAGCCAGCGCTTGCGTTCGATACATTCGAAACAGCAGCATGCGAGCATCACGTGCAGTCGTCAGGGCTAGATTTGAGGCAGCGCGTGCACGAGTCACGGCTTCTACGTCGTCCGAAGATGCCCGAGTGGCTGCGGACGAAGATGCATGGGGAGGAGGATGGGGACACCGCTCACGAAAATGGCTGGGAGGAGGAGGGTGGTGGAGAGGGTGAGATGGCGGACGAGGGACAGAGAACGATGGAAAGAGGGAAGGCGGGCAGAGAGAAAGAGAAAACGGGAGATAGCGGGAGGGATAAGACAGACTTCCGACGGCTCTCAAGGCTCCCAGGAGGCCCCCGAGAGGCCCCAAGAGAGTTCCCGGAGGCGTCCCGGGAGCGCCCGAAGAGGCCCAAATCGTTGATTCTGATTGTTTGTTTTGTTTTCGGTGTTTAGCCTTCTCGCGCTTTCGAGCTTCCAGCGCTCCAAGATTGCCGAAAAGTCCCCCAAGGCATTCGGGCTCAAGCTTCCCGAGTGGCCAGTGTATGTGACGTGCCCCACACCCTGCCACGAGGAGCATGCAACCCGCATGGGTAGACGACATCAGTCCCCAAACCCGTCCTGTGGATCACGCCTCCTACCCGCCACTGACGCCAGAGGAGGTTGCTTACATACCTGTGTGGCACTGTGAGGACGGGGGCTTGAAGTTGCACGGGCGCACGGTGTGCCAAGGTGCCGCTGGAGACGAAGCGAACACGACGGTGCTGGCGAAGGTCTTCCTCTGCATGCGCACCAGCCTGGACGCCGCCGAGTCGAGGGCCATGGGGGTCATCAAGAACTTGCCCAGCAGGTGCAGAGAAGAGGACGTGCTAGATATGATTTCGCAGCTGGGCTTTGGATCCGATATCACCGCTTTCGAGATGCCGACGCGCGTCGGAAAGGGCAACAGAAAGCTGAACAGGGGGTTCGCATTCGTGTACTTCCGTGACGAGGGGGTGTGCCGGCGGTTCGTGCAGGACGCGGAGGGGTACCGCGGTTTCGGGGAGCATTCCAGCAGCAGGGCCATATCCGTAACCTTCTCCTCGGATTTCTCCGGCGGAACGACGGGTGGTCCTCGGCAGGAACGTCCGGGAAGACGGAGGGCGAGTTGACAGTGGCGTCCTGCCAGTAGGGTCTTCTTGAAAGAGGAGCCGGTCCGTGCGTCTCATGAGGCCGAGTCGGCACCGCACGATTCTGCTACGGCAGCTGTCAATTGTGTCTCTCGGCCCATCGCTGAGCCAGCAGGACAGTCGTGTGTGCACACATGTGGGACTTCCCTGCTTCATTTTTCGTCAGCTTCAAGCCTCTGACCAGGGACTGGCGCGTGTGCGCCGCAATCTTCAGATTCTCCAGCCTCTGCAAAGGCCATTTTGTGAGTTAGAACTTTCTTGCACACAAACTTGTCACCCAAACAGCTCGCGCCACATATGCTGTGTACAACCTCGCACCACATGTACTGCACCAGCTGGCTTGCACCTCACAGTGCAACAAAGACAGGATGGTGGGGGAGTGGTAGAGGTACTTTGGGGAGGGGGAGCTCGCGCACCATTACCCTTCACACTGCACCGGTCCCTTGGAGATCGGCTGTCTGTCTGATCGCCGCCTGCTTCTACCAGCCTCGCGCCCCCTTCTACTCTTAATCCTCCGTAAGGGCTTCGCCCCATGCCGCCGGCCCCCTGTCTCGGATAATGGGAGATGCAAAAGCTAAATCATGAGGTCTGGGCGCCGCCGTGAAGCAGTGTCGGGACCTATTTGTTTTTCGACCCTGACCTTACGGATCTGCGTCACGGGTGCCACCGAATTTCAGAAATGTAGCAAATCGCGTGTGGTTTTGGACCCTGACCCTACGGATCTGCGTGAGGGGTGCCGCCGAATTTCAGATTATCCCGGCAAATCAACCTAACAGCGATGTGTAGGAGTATATCTGGAAGCATTCCCCTTCAGATTCAGATGAGAAACCAGTTGTAGAATTCTGCTGTTCTCGCAGTCGTAGTCGCATTCGCGATGACAGTCGCAGTGGCAACGGCAGTCGCAGTCACAGCCTCAGCCTCAGCCTGCCTCAGCCTCAGCCTCACAGCCTGCCTCAGCCTCAGCCTCAGCCTGCTTCAGCCTCAGCCTCAGCCTTCAGCCTCAGCCTCAGCCTCAGCCTGCCTCAGCATCAGCCTGCCTCAGCCTCAGCCTCAGCCTGCCTCTGCCTCAGCCTCAGCCTGCTTCAGCCTCAGCCTCAAGCCTCGGCCTCAGCCTCAGCCCTCAGCCTCAGCCTGCATCAGCCTCAGCCTCAGCCTCAGCCTGCCTCAGCATCAGCCTGCCTCAGCCTCAGCCTCAGCCTGCCTCAGCCTCAGCCTCAGCCTGCTTCAGCCTCAGCCTCAGTCTGCCTTCAGCCTCGGCCTCAGCCTCAGCCTCAGCCTCAGCCTCAGCCTGCATCAGCCTCAGCCTCAGCCTCAGCCCTCAGCTCAGCCTCAGCCTCAGCCTGCCTCAGCCTCAGCCTCAGCCTCAGCCTGCCTGCCTCAGCCTCAGCCTCAGCCTGCCTCAGCCTCAGCTGCCTCAGCCTCAGCCTGCATCAGCCTCCGCCTCAGCCTCAGCCTCAGCATCAGCCTGCCTCAGCCTCAGCCTCAGCCTGCCTCAGCCTCAGCCTCAGCCTGCTTCAGCCTCAGCCTCAGCCTGCTTCAGCCTCCGCCTCAGCCTCAGCCTGCCTCAGCCTCAGCCTGCATCAGCCTCAGCCTCAGCCTCAGCCTGCCTCAGCCTCAGCCTGCCTCATCAGCCTCAGCCTCAGCCTGCCTCAGCCTCAGCCTCAGCCTTCAGCCTCAGCCTCAGCCTCAGCCTCGGCCTCAGCCTCAGCCTGCCTCAGCCTCAGCCTCAGCCTGCCTCAGCCTCAGCCTGCCTCAGCCTCAGCCTCAGCCTGCCTCAGCCTCAGCCTCAGCCTGCTTCAGCCTCAGCCTCAGTCTGCCTTCAGCCTCGGCCTCAGCCTCAGCCTGCCTCAGCCTCAGCCTGCATCAGCCTCAGCCTCAGCCTCAGCCTGCCTCAGCATCAGCCTGCCTCAGCCTCAGCCTCAGCCTGCCTCAGCCTCAGCCTCAGCCTGCTTCAGCCTCAGCCTCAGTCTGCCTTCAGCCTCAGGCCTCAGCCTCAGCCTCAGCCTGCCTCAAGCCTCAGCCTGCCTCAGCCTCAGCCTCAGCCTGCCTCAGCCTCAGCCTCAGCCTTCAACCCTCAGTCTGCCCTGCAGCCTCGGCCTCAGCCTCAGCCTGCCTCAGCCTCAGCCTGCATCAGCCTCAGCCTCAGCCTGCCTCCGCATCAGCCTGCCTCAGCCTCAGCCTCAGCCTGCCTCAGCCTCAGCCTCAGCCTGCTTCAGCCTCAGCCTCAGTCTGCCTTCAGCCTCGGCCTCAGCCTCAGCCTGCTTCAGCCTCAGCATCAGCCTGCCTCAGCATTCAAAATGTGGCTCGGGAATGGAGTTCTGGGAACCCGAAGACCACGAAGTGGCTATAGCTGGCTCGGGGCGTTCAAAATCATGCCCAGCATTGGAGTTCTGGGAACTCGAAGACCACGAAGTGGCCTACAGTTGGCTCCGGGCATTCAAAATCATGCCCAGGAATGGAGTTCTGGGAACTCGACGACCACGAAGTGGCCTACAGTTGGCTCCGGGCATTCAAAATCATGCCCAGGAATGGAGTTCTGGGAACTCGAAGAACACGAAGTGGCCTACAGTTGGCCCCGGGCATTCAAAATCATGCCCAGGAAAGGAGTTCTGGGAACTCAAAGACCACGAAGTGCGTTACTGTTTGCTAAAAAAGGAGTCCCCGGATTCCCGCGGCACCCGTCCGACATCTGTCCGGCATCTGCCCAGACCCCCCTGGGGAGTCATGATGCTTTCTTTTGAGACCACTAGAAACCCATCAGTCTTCGCTGCTAGGTAAAAAGTAGCAAATCCCATGGTGTTTTTGGACCCTGACCCTGCCGATCTGCGTGAGGGGTGCCGCCGAATCTCAGACATGTGGCAAAACCCATGTGTTTTTGGACCCTGACCCTGCCGATCTGTGTGAGGGGTGCCACCGAATTGCAGACATGTGGCAAATCTTTTATGTTTTTGCACCCTGACCCCGCCGATCTGCGTGAGGGGTGCCACCGAATTTTAGAAATGTGGCAAATCTTTTGTGTTTCTGCACCCTGACCCCGCCGATCGTGCGGGGTGCCACCGGATTTGAGAAGTGTGGCAAATCTTTTGTGTTTTTGCACCCTGACCCCGCCGATCTGCGTGAGGGGTGCCACCGAATGTCAGAAATATGGCAGATCCCGTGTGTTTTTGGGACCCTGACCCCGCCGATCTGCGTGAGTGGTGTCAATTTTTGCCCACCCCAGCAGTTCAGACAACACGCTCAGGGAGTGGTAGAAATAGTCGTTTTGGGCCTCCCCCCCTCGCGCGGTCCGTCAACAAGGAACAGTAAGCGGCAAGAAGCAGAACTGCAACAAGGAACAGTAAGCAGCAAGAAGCAGAACTGCAACACTGGAAACTGGAAGCTGCAACTGGCACAGGAAACCGCGTACCTTAGCCCTACAGCCTGGTGGCCCCACAAGGGGGCCGGCGGATTCTACTCCTCGTCTTCTCTGGCCGCCCGCGCGGAGACCTTTCCAAGGGCTCCCAGGAGGGCGCGAAGTTATTCGCGCTTCGCGGTCCTCGTTCCTTCTCCCCCTCCTCCTCGTCCTCCTCTTCTCCCTCTGGGGGGGCGGCGCGAGAGCGCGAAGTTATTCGCGCTTCGCGCTTCGCGGAGCGCGAAGCGCGAAGTTGGGAGCCCTTGCCTTTCGCTCTGGGGGCACCCCTCTGGGGCTGTCGGACCGACGCCGGCCGAACCTGGCCGCCCGGCCCCGATGGAGCGTTGAACCTCCCCGCTGGGCACGTGCCCCGCCCTTCCACCTCGCATGATCCAAGGGCTCCCACGAGGGCGCGAAGTTATTCGCGGTTCGCGCTTCGCGGTCCTCGTTCCTCCTCCCCCTCCTCCTCGTCCTCCTCTTCTCCTCCTTGGGGGGCGGCGCGAGAGCGCGAAGTTATTCGCGCTTCGCGCTTCGCGCAGCGCGAAGCGCGAAGTTGGGAGCCCTTGCTTCCACCTCGCATGATCTGAGGCTGCAACAGTCCTAGACATGGCTGGATCGCCGAGCTAGGGCTCCGCAGTGGTGGGCCGAACTGTCTGTCGACCACAGCGCTGAGTTTAGGGGTAGCCCGCCGTGTACACGGGACCGTTTGGAGCGCGACCGCCGCGGGCATTGGCCGTGATGTGAGGTCTGGCCAGGCGAGACACAGGGCGGGTCATTTTGCCAGTGCAAGGGCACATGCAACGGCCTGGGTGCCTACACTTCGGCTTTCCCATCAGCTTTCTGATGGGACGCCGACCCCCCAGACGGTCATCACACGTTTGTCTACACAGCGCTAGGCATTGTCATCTTCCCTCTCCTCGTCGCGCCACGCGCCCTCGCCTTGCGCGGCCACCGGGCAGCTCGAGTCGGGCAGCTGCCCTGCTCCGACCCCGTCAGATCGATTCCGGCGGCAGAAGGGCGAATTTGCAGCACCTCCCCCTCCACCGAAGTCTTGTCCCGCCCATCCTGCGGTGCAGTTGTGGAGCTCATTGCCCGTGGCAGCTCGGAGCCCAGAGCCACGAGGATCTCTCAACGCCATTTAGTGCAGCGCAATGGGAAGTGATGGGACAGAAAGGTAATCCCATGCGTTGCAATGCAATGCCGTGCAATGCAATGTACCGGCACTCCATGCACGGGCAATGCATATGAAAAATGTACCTGCCAGTGGGCATGGGACAGAGGCCTCCACTCTGGGGGATGCGGGGTAAAGCGAGGGAGAGAAGGAGCGCGAGGAGGAGGAGGAAGAGGATAATGTATTGTTTTCCACAGCTCCTCATGCAACTTGGCATGAAGTATAGTGCAACACCAGTAGCAGGAGGCGGGGCTGGCAACAGGATCAAGCACATCGGAACCGCACTTAGCAGAACAGAAGCTCACTTAGCAGGAACACGACTCGTTTGACTCATTTTTGGCGGTGCGACGGTGCAGCGAGCAGGAATGAATGGTTTTTGAAGAAGAGGGGTTGAGGAGGAGGGGGAGGAGGAGGAGGAGGAGGAGTAGGAGGAGGAGGCTGAAAAACGACGACGGCGACGAGAGCGAGGAGTAGGAGGAGTGTCAGGATGAGCAGGGGGAAGGGAGCGAGAGGACCGCGACGGGGAGGGAGCAGGAGGAGCACCAGAGGGTCGGAGGAAGAGGAGGGCCAGTGCGACCCTTGGTCCCTGTCGGAGTTCAGGAAGAGGTAGAGACGGATGCTGAGGGGGAGGAGGAAGGGGTGCGGAGGAGGGGGGGGAGGAGGAGGAGGAGGAGGAGGAGGAGGAGGAGGAGGAGGAGGAGGAGGAGGAGGAGGAGGGAGAGGAGGAGGAGGAGGAGGAGGAGGAAGGCGAGGAGAAGGAAGAAGGGGGAGGGGAGAAGGAGGGGGGAGGAATTCCGGAGAGACGAGGGGGGGATGGGAGAGGAGTATAGCTGGAAAATAAAGAAACAGGAGGGAGGGAGGATGAGGGAGGGGGAAGAGGAGGAGGAGGAGGAGGAGGAGGAGAACGAGGAGGAGGAGGAGGAGGGAGGAGGAGGAGGACTGCAGAGGCAGGGAGGGAGGAGGCGGGAGCAGGAGGATGAGGAAAAGGAGCAGCCGCGTGAGGCCGCGCGGCAGCGGCGCTCCCGAGACAGCGGCGGCGGGTTGGGGGAGGGGGGCGAAGGTACGCACGTGATGACCACCCCCCCGGGGGACCCGAGGCCCCTGATAGGCGCCGGCTGCGCGATCGGCCCGGAGTGCGGAGATGGAGGAGGAGGAGGAGGAGGAGGAGGAGGAGGAGGAGGAGGAGGAGGAGGAGGAGCAGGAGGAGGAGGAGGAGGAGGAGGAGGAGGGATGGGTTTGAGGAGGAGGGGGAGGATGAGGGAGGGAGGGAAGGTGGGAAGATGGGGCCCTTCGGGCCCTTCGGACCTGCTTCTGTCCGCCGATGACGGGCGTGGCGCTGCGTGTCCTGCCACGGGAAAGGCAATCAGCTCTTGTCTCTTCTCCAAGATGGCGTGCCATATTTTTACAGCCTTAACGAAGATGTATTCAGTGCGGCAACGCAGCCAAATTTGGAGCACAAGATTTGGATCGCCTGAAATCTCAGTTGTGGGGTTCTTGTGCTGCACTGTGCGGAATGCAGTGCGATGGCGGCTACCAGAGCCGCTGGATTGCGTGAGTCGCCCAGACCCAACGAACAGCGTTCTGGGTACGGTGGGGGCGTTCGTTAAGGAATGTGCCCAGGAGGCGTGAGGGCGGCAGTGATATCCGTGGCCACGCCTCAGTCTGTGGTCCACTGGCTTCCAGACTCCGGCAGGTCGAGCACATCCCAGCCCATCGCTCCCTCGATCGGGCCGGGCGAAAGGGGGGGATTGGGAAAGGGGGGGTTACGAAATTTGCTGCATGCAGCTGGTTTCGGCCTCACCGAAGGGCCAATTCCTCGATACATGGCCGCTCCCGGCGCCGGGAGGCGCCGGGAAAGTCACCCCCCTTTGCTATCCCCCCCTTTCGCCCGACCCGACTCGAGGCGGTCAGGAGGGGCGAGCTCCCGGAGATCGAGCTGCGCGGCCACCGCCTCGCCGACAGGCGCGCCAAGGAGGGGGCAGCAGTACTCCAGGCGCCGCGCGAGGACGCGGCTCCTGGAGGGGGTGCCTCGGCAGAGCCCCCGATGCGGCCAGGCTCGCGGCCGAGATCGAGGTGCACATCTCCGACGCGTGCCTCCGAGACTGCTGGCCCGTGGCCGCTCTTGGAGGACGTGGACCTGGAGCAGTTCGGGTTCGGCCTCGGCGAGGACGCGGTGGCCGAAGCGGACCCTAATTAATTGCCTTGGCAGCTCGTGGTCCTGCTGGATCGCTGGCAGCTGCTGGCCTGGCGGTGGCAGCGGCCGCGGCGGGGGCCGAGGCGACCGCGCCCATCTCTTCGGGCCCTGGGTGGCGGGCCATCCGCCCAGCGTCCTGCGGCCCCGTTCCGGAGTGCCGAGCCTGGCGAGGGGCATCCCCTTGGGGCGCTCTCGAGGTCAGGTTTCCGGCTGGCACCGGGTCGAGGTGTCCAGGGGCCGTGCCGAGGCCTCGGCAAGAGGGGCACGTGCTTCTGCGCCAGAGGGCGAGGGTGTGGAAGGCGAGCCGTCAGACCACCCGCCCAATCCCAGCAGCCAGCCGTCCTTGCCTTGGGCGGTCCAAGGCCACAGCCTGATGCAGTCCCAGGTTGTGGGCCAGTCCGAAGTGTTTCTGGTCTGCATTGCCTGCTACACGTGCTGCCGCCAGCCGAGGTACGCGCACCGTGGGCTGGCCAAGGCGTGTGCAGGCTCGCGTCGCCGATCTCCGAGTTGGTACCTCCCACGGCGGCCACCGGGGCCAGGTGGGCGCAGGCGCTCGGCATCTCTGACGGATTCGTCGGGTCGGCCTGCCCCCAGGACCCACCCACGGCGCGGCATGCCACCGCGTCGGCTGTTCGCTCCGCGCAGCTGCTCATCACGCCAGCACGCAAGGGAGTGCTGGCCTCTTCCAGCTTCGCCTCCGCCGAGGAGGCTCGTGCTCGTGGCAGCCGTGCGGTGGCCGAGAGAGCGGCGAGGGCCTCTCAGCGTCAAGAGGTTGACCCCAAGCCCGCGGGGCCGAGCTGGGGCCGAGGCTTTGAGCTTTGGCCCCCTGTGTGTCCCTCCTGGGCGCCGTGCGCGTGCGGCGTCCCCCAGAATTCAGTTGGGAACAAGCCCCCCCCAGGACCCGAAGTGAGAAACAACTGGCCCCCCCCAGGACCCGAGGTGAGAAACAACGGTCCTTGCTTTACACTGTGGGGGAAGGCTCTCCCGTGGGGAGGGGGCCAGGAGCTAGAGCGGCCGTGGCTCCATCCGCTCCTCTGCCCCCTCCGCCGCACGACCCTCCTCCTCCTCCGCCTCCACCTCCTCCTCCTCCTCCACCTCCTCCTCCTCCTCTTCCTCCTCCTCCTGGATTCCCTCCGGGGATCATCCGTGAAACTTGGAACGATTCAGAGAAGATTAGCATGGCCCCTGCGCAAGAATGACACGCACAAATCGAGAAGTGTATACCATTTGTTCTCCTACGCTCGGCTCCTCCTCCTCCTCCTCCTCCTCCTCCTCCTCCTCCTCTTCCTCCTCCTCCTCCTCCTCCTCCTCCTCCTCCTCCTCCTCCTCCTCCCTCACCTCCCAGGTACCAGTGCGCCTGAGCCCCCCACTGAAGCCAGCTTGGAAGTAGACGCAGCGGCGGTCGAACGAGATCGGGATCACTTGCCCTCTTCTCGTGTCTTGCCCGCTTGCCCTCGTCTCTTCCTCTTTGAGTACGTGCACTCCCTCACCTCCCAGGTGGCCCTCCAATTGGGGGAGTCGCGGGGGGGGGCGTTGAAGGAGGAGGATTCAGATTCAGGTTTCACCTGCCTTTCTGACTGGTGAGGGGCTGGCCATGTACTTACCTCACCTACCCCAAGAAGGCGTTGAAGGAGGAGAAAAGGGGGAGGAGGACGGTGCTTTACATTTTCTTCGTGCTGCCGGCGAAGCATATCGGGTGGCGACAGGGACTCGTCGCGTCACGCCGCGAGGGAGGACGAGGAGGGAGGGATGACAGCATGAGGGCAGCATCCTTGGAGGATTCTAACGCCTACAGTGCCGAACGCTGAAGAGGAGGGGGTGGGGGAGCGAAGGAGTGAGGTGGGCGTCCTCAGTCTCTCTCTCCCTCACCCCTTCCCTCCGTCACTCCCCCCCTCCCTGCCACCCCTCGTCCCGTTTCGACTCCATGCCCCCTCCCCCCTCTCCTCATTCCCCCTGCCCCTCATGTTGCATTCGCTCTTCTCGTGTCGCCTGCTTGGCATACAAGTTGTCCACTGCTTTCCATTCAACAGACCAAAGCAATTTACATTCGAAGCAAAATTCTGCGCGAACCAGTCTTTGCCGCGTCCAAGACGAGCTCGACATACGAATCACGCCGCTGCAATAGTATGTAGATGAATGCTGTGCCTGAAAAGTCACCTTGTGGCGGAGACGAAAACTGTTCTATTTCGTGGGGTGTTTGGTCCGCACCAGGGGGGTGCTGTAAGGGCCACCAGGGCCCCTGCCAAAGCCGGCCGCGTTGGGCTCACAATGGAGGGATGTAAGCATACCAGATGCCGCGTGTGAGGAAATGCGATGGACGGAAGCAGAATCGGAGGAGCAGGATGGAGGAGGGGAGGAAGGGAGGAGTGATACCCGTGCGTTTGTTCCGCTTGGAATTCGGTGACATTGCCACGCAGCCGCGTCGCTGGTGAGGGAGTCGGAAATCGTGCGGGGTGTTTTTTTGTCTTTGCGCTACAACTTATGATTCTTCGTGTGTCGTTACCAGCACATCTCAAGACTCCGAGGTGAGTTGCCGCAAAAAGGGAAATGAAGGAACAAACGTGAAACAGGGAGGAGGGGCCAGTCAAATAAACATGAGGTGAGCCTAAACAGCTTCTAACCATTGCCGAATAGACCTCTTCTGACCCCTATGGGGTAACTCCTGGTCGCTTTGATGTGTCTTTCAACACCTCTTGAGTTTTGTTGTTGCTCTTTGGTGGGAGCGGCATATGTTTGGTAAGCCCAGCTGGGGACCTTCTATTTGGGACTGTCTTGGTTGTGCTCTTGGGGGAGGGGTGCAGGGTTGTCTTGAAGCCTGTCTTGCACGTTGGGCCATCTTGGAGCTTCAGTGGCCAACCAGAACCGACAAGGTGACAACGCGGAATACATGCTCAAGTCTTGTATACGCACATTCTGCTGGCCTCTCAGGGGCGTGATGCACCGCGGCCGCGTCGAGCCCATCGAGGGGCCTCTTTGAGCCAGGCCTGCCAGCTTTGGTCATCGTGCACCGTTTTGGAGGCCACCTTGGGCTGTCTGGGGGCCGCCTCGGAGCCATCTGGGGCCATCGTGGACGATCCATACAACCCCCGGCCGCCCCAGACCAGACCACTTGGACGGGGGCTCGACCCACAGCTGCCCGTTCATCGCCGATAGGGGCCCGATAGCCCCAGCACGCCCAGGACCATGCGGATCCGCTGCCGAGGGCCCATTGCCGATCCATGTATCGCCGATTCCAGCTCCATGTTTCCTCCCCTGAGCCGCCGCCCCCCCCCTCCCCATCGTTGCCCCTCAGAAGGGGGGGCTGATTTGGAAGACCTCACCGCTAAACCACCTACGCCCAGACAGCTGGCAGAATGTGCGCCCATTTTTTGGCAGCAAACGGTCAGACTGACGGGCGGCATCGGAACAGCCCAGCTTGCACACGAAACTCGCTCACCAATGCCCCATCCGTGTTATTCAAGGTTCACGAGGCTTACGCCATTCCGTCGATCCCCAAAGAGGATATGTGCGGTGTGTGTGTGTGTGTGTGAGTGTTTTTGGACACTTCCCGTCGTGCTGCCCGCGTGTAGTTGCTGCTGATTCGTCCTTCTATTCCTCCGCGTCTGCTGCGGGGCTTATTGAGGGCCTCTTGGAGGCCTGGGGGAAGTCATCTTGGCGCTTTTTCGAAGCTCCTGGGGACTTGGGGAAGCTCTCTGGGAGCTTCTTGGGGGCCTCTTGGAGCCATGTTGGGGTTCTTGGGGGCCATCTTGTGGGGGGGGGTCTCCCTGGGACCTTGCGGGCTCCCCTTCCTGGGCCTCTCTTGGTGCCTTCTTGAGGTTTTCTGTTGCCATCTTAAGGGCCTCCTGGGCCGTTGGGGGACTCTCGGAACCGTCTTCGGGCCTTCTGTGGGGCTTCTTGGGCCGTCTTGGGCCAGTCTGGGAGGCCTCTCGCGCCATGTTGGACTTGCAGACCAACAAGGCGAGAACGCAAAAGTCATTCAAAGAAACCCACAGGCACATTCATGATGCTTGCCTCTTAGGGCCCTCCTGAGGGTCCTCTTGGGGCCCTCTTTCGGCGTCTTGGGCCGTCTTGAGGCTATCCTGGGCGTTCCTGAGGCCTCTCCGGCGCGCTTGAGACCTCTCGAGCCATCTTGGAACGCATCTCGTGCATTCTGGCGGCCACGGAGGGTTGACTTTGAGGCTCCGAGGGCCCTCGAGGTGCATTGACGAGCTCGTGCCCCTGCCCTCTGACCCGATGTTGGACTCCAGGGGAGGGGAAACCACCTCACACGCATTTTTACCCCGGCAAGCGGGTTCTAACTGATTTCCTTTTTGAAAACACAGCGCTGGAAACCATTACCCTTATCATCCATACTCTTTCCCCCTATGTCTCTACCTCTCTATATTCCTCTCGCCTCTACATATCCCTATTTGCAGTCCCTCCCTGTTGCTGCTGCTGGTTCTACTCATTCGCATCTGCCTCCTTTGGTTTCTGGCACTCTCACCTGAAGCACGTCTGGAAAACAAGGAGGAGAGGAGGAGAGGGAGGGAGGGAGGAAGGCGATTCTTATGTTGCTGATGATGCTGCTGCTGCGGATGATAATACTGGTGCTGCTGATGTTGCTGGTGACGATGATGGTGATGATGTTGATGCTGCTGCTGATGATGCTGATGGTGATGGTGATGGTGGTGGTGGTGGTGATGATGATGAGGGGGAGGAGGACGAGGAGGACGAGGATGACGACGACGAGGAGGATTGCAAGGAGGACGGAGCAAAAGACGGAGCACAGACGGAGACGATGATGAAGGTGATGCTGATGGATATGTTGCTGCTGCTTTTGGTGTTGGTGATGCTGATGCGTATCATCATGATGATGATGGTTCGGAGGATTATGATGATGTTGGCGATTATGATAATGAAGACGACGCTGACGATGACGGCGACGACGGCAATGATGATGATATATCAAGAATGTAGGTTATGCTGCTCATGATGATGCTGATGACGATCATGATGACGATGACGATGACGATGATGATGCTGATAGTGCTGCTGCTGATGATGACGATGCTGAGGATGCTGCTGCTGATGATGGTGCTGATAATGCTGCTGATGATGACGATGCTGAGGATGCTGCTGGCGAGGATGCTGATCATGCTGATAATAATGGTGATGAGGACGATGACTATGATGATGATGATGATGATGATGATGATGATGATGATGATGATGATGGTGAGGGTGATGATGATGATGATGATTATGATGATGTTGATGATGATGATGATGATGATGTTAATGATGATGATGATGATGATGAGGATGATGATGATGATGGTGATGCTGATGCTGGTGATTATGACGATGATGATGTTGATGATGCTGGTGCTGATGCTGATGCCGTTTTTGATGCTGTTGCAGATGCCGATGTTGGTGCTGATGCTGCTTCTGCTGAGTATGATGATGATGATGATGATGATGCTGATGCTGATGCTGATGTTGATCATGCTACTCATACGGATATGTATGCGGCTGCCGCTGCTGATGATGATGGTGGGCATGGGTATGGTGATGGTGATGGTGATCACCGGCTGATGATGGTGATGCTGATGATGCTGGCTGTGATGGTAATGCTGATGTTGGGGATACGGGAACTGGTGATGATTATGATGATGATGGTGATGGTGTTGATGATGATGATGATGACGATGCTGACAATGATGATGATGATGATGATGATGATGATGATGATGATGATGATGATGATGATGATGCTGATCATCATGATTATGCTGATGATGCTGATGATGATGCTACTGATGATGATGCTGCTGATGATGATGATGATGCTGATGCTACTGATGATGATGATGCTGATGATGCTTCTGATGATGCTGATGGTGGTAGTGATGGTGATGGTGGTGATTGTGATGATCAGGAGGAGGAGGAGGAGGAGGAGGAGGAGGAGGAGGAGGAGGAGGAGGAGGAGGATGACGACGACGACGAGGAGGATTGCAAGGAGGACGGAGCAAAATTCGGAGGACGGGGCAGGAGCAGGAGGACGAACACGAGGAGGGACGGAGCAGCCGTACGAGTGCAGGAGGACGGCGACGACGACGAGGGCGAGGGCGAGGAGGAGGACGAGGACCAGGAGGGAGAGAGGGAGCAGGCTGGGGGGAGGGCGAGACGGGGGGAAGGGGGAGGAGCAGGAGGAGCAGGGCGAGGGCTTCCACGAGGGAGACCGCGCAGGCTGCGCACCCTCGGGCCTGACGAGCGCCGCCCTGGCGCAGGCGCAGCAGCGGCTGGAGGCTGCGGGCCTCCCTGGCGCGGTGCTGCCCTGCCGCCTCCGCTCGCCCTCGAACCGTCGTCGTCGTCGTCGTCGTCGTCGTCGTCGTCGTCGTCGTCGTCGTCGTCGTCGTCGTCGTCGTCGTCGTCGTCGTCGTCGTCGTGGTCGTGGTCGTGGTCGTGGTCGTGGTCGTGATCGTCGTCGTCGTCGTCGTCGTCGTCGTCGTCGTCGTCGTCGTCGTCGTCGTCGTCGTCGTCGAGAGGGGTGGAGGGGGGGAGGGGAGGGGGAGGGAGGGAGGGAGGAGAGAGAGGGAGGGGGAGAAAGCAGGGAAGGAGGGAGGGCGGGAGTGGGGCATGAAGGGATGAGAGAGAACGAGGAGGAGGAGGGAGGAGGAGGAGGAGGAGGAGGAGGAGGAGGAGGGAGGAGGAGGGAGGGAGGAGGAGGAGGAGGAGGAGAGGAGGAGGAGGGAGGAGGAGGAGGAGGGAGGAGGAGTTGGAGGAGGAGGAGGATGGAGGAGGAGTGGAGGAGGAGGGGGGGGGTAGAGGAAGCGAGGAGGGGGAGGGAGGAAGGAATGGCCTCTGCTTGGACCAGAGCACATCGTCTGATGCCTGGGCAACTGGCGTTTTCTCAGCCGGGCGTTTGTCGATCACCCCTGCCCTGTTCGATTCCGTCTTTGGCTGCGTTTGCTGAGGGGCTTCGCTTGGAGTGGTGCTTATGGCGATGACGGCTCCTCTGCCCTCATCACCGAGGCGAGGGGAACCAGCCCTCGCCCCCTGGGTCGGGTCGGGCGAAAGGGGGGGTTTGGGAAAGGGGGGGTTACGAAATCTGCTGCATGCAGCTGGTTTCGGCCCCGACCGAGGGGCCCATTCCTCGATACATGCCTCCGGCGCCGGGAGGCGCCGGGAAAATCAGCTACGTGAGCTGATTCTCAAACCCCCCCTTTGCTATCCCCCCCTTTCGCCCGACCCGACTGGGGCTCGTGCCATATTCTCGCCCTTGGTTGTTTGTTGGCAGCCCCGGGGCCCGCGGGAGGCCCCGAGGCACAGAAGACGGCGAAAGACGACCTGCGGGAGCCGCGTCCCGCAGAGTCCCTGTCGCTTCGTGGCGAGGTTGCGGTCGCGAACCTCTCCTCCTCCTCCTCCTCCTCCTCCTCCTCCTCCTCCTCCTCCTCCTCCTCCTCCTCCTCCTCTTCGTCCTCCTCCACCTGGCGTGTCGCGGCGGAGTTCCCTGCGATACGCTGCGCACTGAGTGGAGCTCTCGCCTGTGGGGATACGTCGCAGCAGGAGGCGGAGGTAGTCAAGCCTGGAGGGTGGATGGGGTCTTTGGAATAAAGATCGGATCGGTGAGAAGAGAGCAGGAGCAGGTTGGGCAGCCTCCGCCGGCGCTATGGCTCTGCACCTTCGCACAGGACCCCAGTTCCCCAGCGGGGCCCGCCCCGCAGCGGTGGCGATGCAAGGAACGAGCATGTCTGGCATTCCAGATGGGCGCCCAGCTACGCCGGGAGTCCAAGTCGCGAGAGGGCCCAGAGGCTTCTCCCTCGAGGGGCCTCGCGCGGACTTTCTCTGTCAGCGAGTTGGGCGGGTTGGCGCGGCGACTCTTTGGTCCTCGCGGCGTTTTTGGTTCCTACAGATCTCGCGCAGCGGCGCTGTCGAAAGGCCACGTGTCCACGTCAGTCTTGGAAGGGCTGCTGGCCCTGGCGCAGCCGCGCGCCCCTCGGCCGAGACCGTGGGCTCCGGCCAAAGACCCAGTCATGGCGCTGGCTCTGACGATGAGAAGGGCTGGGCGGAGGTTTCGGGCGGCGACGGTTGCGGTGGGTCCGAGCCCCGAATCATCAGGGGTAACTCGGGTCAGGGCTAACTCGGGTTCGTTTTTCGGGAACCCGAGCCCGAGTTACCCCGGACCCGAGTTACCCCGGATAACTCGGGCGTCCAGAGCCCCGAATCATCAGGGGTAACTCGGGTCAGGGATAACTCGGGTTCGTTTTTCGGGAACCCGAACCCGAGTTACCCCGGACCCGAGTTACCCCGGATAATTCGGGCGCCCAATGGGTGGAGGTTTCGGGCGGCGACGGCTGCGGTGGGCGACGCGGAGGCGCTGCGGGACACGATGTTTGATTCGCCTGGTTTTGTCGCACAGTTTGTGGCAGATTCGGCCCGTCGAGAGTCCGATCGGCGAGCCGTTCTCTTGCGGGGTCTGGATGGCCTGTGGGTCTCCGATCACCTCTGGAGGCCAACTCTGGAGCTTCTGTTTGCTAAGCCAGCCGATGGTTGGAGTGGGCATGATCAGAATGTGCCTAGAGGCCTGATACTGTTGGGTCTCACTGGGATCAGGTGCTGAAGGACAAGAACCAGCCTGCTTTGCCAGACGCGCGCGCACTGTGCCAGGGGGGGCACAGCACTTTGTTTCCACGGGGACTTATGGTGGTCAGCGCATGCGCTGCGGCGGCGCGACAATCTCGCAGGCTCGGCAGGGCGCGCCAGCGACGACGAGGTTCAGGCGCCCCCCCCCCAGTTGGCGCGAGCGCTTTGCCGGGGGTGTCTTTCCTGATCCGAATCCGTGTTTTCGTAGGCCAGAGTTTTTGCCCGAATGGGAAGTCACAGTCAGAGGGGCCTCGCTTCCGCGCAATTTAGAGGGGGCTTGGTTTTCGTGGGCGGTTTTGGCTTTGAGGGAGATCTCCATTCGATTGGGCGCGCTGGGTGGGCGGCTGCCCCGCGCGTTTCTGAAAGGCGTTTCCAGAGGGCGATTTACGGAGCTGCCCCAGCACCTTCGGGGCCTCTGCAGGTATCCAGAGACGGGGCATCTTCTGCAGCCCTGGAGGTTTCTGATTTGCCTTCGGTCAGTTTTTTCGGCCTTGTGTGACTGCAAAGGGACCCTCGGCCGTTGCACGAAGCCTGCGATGGCGCAGGCACCCACTGGCGCTCGGGCACACTTGTGGACTGGGGTCCACTCGCGGGAGGATTCTGCGCATCGGCCCTTTCTCCGCGTCAAGGGCCCCGCGGCCCCGCGGAACAAAGGTGGCTGGGAGGGCCTCGACGCTCCACCGCTCGGGCAGCTCTCGGCCCTGGCGGGCTTGCTTAGGAGCGAGCGCTGCAGGCCAGCGTTGCAGGCCAAGGCCGTGGAGGCCGACGTGCTGGCGATGGAGGGCCCGCGTGCTGCATGAGAGCAAGTTGCCAAGCATGCTGCTCGATGCACAGCGGCGAGTGGACGCGGGCCATTGGGATCGCCAGGACTTTGACCGCCTGAAGCTGGTGGACTTCGGGGAGTGGCCAGATAGTCACCACCCACCGAACCACCCCAACCCAAGCCGAAGGCTCAGATTTACTCTCGATTTCCAGTGGGGGGGGGTCGGGAAACGTCGAAAAAACACATGTGGAACCCTTACCCCCCCCAACCCGAAATTCGGGTCTTCGGATTGGGTTGGGGTGGTCTGGTAGGTAGTCAGATGGGTGGCATTCGGAGGCCCCTGCCGTCCCCGTCCCTCCTCCTGCCGTGGACCTCCCTCCCGCTGCTGCTGCTGCTGCTGCTGCTGCTGCTGCTGCTGCTGCTGCCTCCTCCACCTGCGACAAGATGCTTCGACGGGGGCCCGAGGCGAGGCTCTCGATTACAGTCGGGGCCCTGAAGAAGGAAGCCTTTTGGTTGGGGAGGGGCTCCGCGTTCCTTAGGTGTTTCGCAGCTTGCCCCACGTTTTCCTTTTTGGTTTTCGAAGGGGAATCGAAGTTTAACTCATGGACAACAGGGGCCTCGTTCCTTATTTAGGGTTCCTTAGGTCAACGCCCCGACGGTACCGGTGGAAAGTTGATGAACACCGTGCGCTGGAGGCAGAAGTCACTGGCGGGGACCTGGTCTTGCTTTGGCCCTCGCGTTGGCAACGTGCGGTTCTTCGAAACCCGAGGGGCTTCGAGGGGCCATGTACAAGCCCCCGCGAGCTCACAGCCTGGTGAGTTTTTTGGCGATGTCCGTTCCCCATCCTCAGCCGCCCGAGCGTGTTGGTCCAGCCACCTTGGAGTGGCATCAGATGAGGGAACCGAAGCTCTCCGTCCCCGCGCGCGACCGTTTGTCGAGCCGGAAGCACCCACGAGGATGGAACTTTCGTCGGTGCTCCTCCGTGACTCTTTCCCTTTATGGGCAGTGAGCCTCTTCCTCCTCATCCACCTCCTCCTTCTCCTCCTCCTTTTTCTCCTCGAGTCCTCTTCGGGTCCTCCTCGAGCTCTCCTCCTCCTCTTCCTCCTCGAGTCCTCCACGCCTCTGGGAAAGCCAATCTGAGGGGCAGGGATAAACCCGAGGCTGACTGGAAAGAGGGGGCGAGACATGTCCGTCAGATGTTCGTTCCGGGGACCTTCTGGGGGGGCACCTTAGGGATTTGTTGGACTCCAGTCCGACCAAAATCTGATCCAGGCTCGACTCCAGCTCGACTCAAGCTCGGCTCAAGCTCGGCTCAAGGCCGACGGACGTTCGACGCTGCATCGAGAGTGGAGCGAGCGGCTCCAGGAAGGCCCCCGAAACGAGCATCTAACGCGCGCGCCGCGCCTCCGCGTCAGGCGTGCGAAGCGCCGCCGCGGGGGGAGGGCGCCCGCGACGGCGCCAGCGTGGAGCTGCGGGAGCGCGGCCCCGACGGGCCGGCGCCGCCAGTGGAGGGAAAGGGGGGGGGTTCGAGGAGGATTCGAGGAGAAGGAGGAGGAGGAAGAGGAGGAGGAGGAGGGGGATGAGGAGGAGGGGGATGAGGAGGATGAGGAGGATCAGGAGGAGGAGGAGGAGGAGGAGGAGGAAGAGGAGGAGGAGGACCAGTGTAAACCCAAGAGGCATCAACGATGTTGGAATGCACCCTTCCTCCAAGCTTCCTCGCCATAGGCCCCTACAATGGTTCATTTCTACTGAGGCAACCGCCTCGTTGGAAGACAACTCTCTGAAGACAATGAAGCATGCCAAGTTATTGTTCTCGGGAGTCCAACGCCACGGATCAACCTGCTTGTTGCTTCTTGACGATCCTGAACCGTGCCAGAACGCCGTTCTTCGGACTAGAACACCGCGAATCAACATAACTTGTGCACCCGCATAAGCCTGACTCCTTCCAAACCGCCATTTGTGGTACGTTGAGCATGGGATTCCGTGAAACTCTGGCAACTTGTGAAGACGAGTGTGCGCGGCGCTGAGGCGAGAGCTACATGTTGAAAAAGAGTTGCCCTAAATCCGTGAAGCTCTTGCAGTTTTTGATGCGAATGTGCGCGGCGCTAAGGCGAGAGCTACATTTTGAAAACGACTCGCCCTGAATCCGTGAAACGATTACAATGTTTAAGACGCGTGTGCACGGCGCGGACGCGAGAGCCACCTTTTGAAAACTACTCGCCCTCAATCCGTGAAGATCTCGCAATTGTTTGTGTTTGAGACTTCATGTGCGCGGCGCTAAGGCGAGACCCACATTTTGAAAACGACCCGCCCTAAATTTGTGAAAGTGTGGCAAAATGTTAAGCTTAAGGGTCAGAAATGGTGAGGACGTCTTAGGCGAAACGCCCGGCCCGCCCTAAAAATTGGCCTCGGGGTGCGACAGGGAGAAGTTGTTTATAAGGAAAAGGAATGGAGGAGGGGGAGGAGGAGGAGGAGGAGGAGGAGGAGGAGGAGGAGGATCAGGAGGAGGAGGAGGAGGAGGAAGAGGAGGAGGAGGAGGACCAGTGTAAACCCAAGAGGCATCAACGATGTTGGAATGCACCCTTCCTCCAAGTTTCCTCGTCACAGGCCCCTACAATGATTCATTCCTACTGAGGCAACCGCCTCGTTGGAAGACAACTCTCTGAAGACAATGAAGCATGCCAAGTTATTGTTCTCGGGAGTCCAACGCCACGGATCAACCTGCTTGTTGCTTCTTGACGATCCTGAACCGTGCCAGAACGCCGTTCTTGGGACTTGAACACCGCGAATCAACATAACTTGTGCACCCGCATAAGCCTGACTCCTTCCAAACCGCCATTTGTGGTACGTTGAGCATGGAATTCCGTGAAACTCTGGCAACTTGTGAAGACGAGTGTGCGCGGCGCTGAGGCGAGAGCTACATGTTGAAAAAGAGCTGCCCTAAATCCGTGAAGCTCTTGCAGTTTTTGATGCGAATGTGCGCGGCGCTAAGGCGAGAGCTACATTTTGAAAACGACTCGCCCTGAATCCGTGAAACGATTACAATGTTTAAGACGCGTGTGCGCGGCGCGGACGCGAGAGCCACCTTTTGAAAACCACTCGCCCTCAATCCGTGAAGATCTCGCAATTGTTTGTGTTTGAGACTTCATGTGCGCGGCGCTAAGGCGAGACCCACATTTTGAAAACGACCCGCCCTAAATTTGTGAAAGTGTGGCCAATTGTTAAGCTTAAGGGTCAGCAATGGTGAGGACGTCTCAGGCGAAACGCCCGGCCCGCCCTAAAAATTGGCCTCGGGGTGCGACAGGGAGAAGTTGTTTATAAGGAAAAGGAATGGAGGAGGGGGAGGAGGAGGAGGAGGAGGAGGAGGAGGAGGAGGAGGAGGAGGAGGAGGAGGAGGGGGATAGGGAGGAGGAGGAGGAGGAGGAGGAGGAGGAGGAGGAGGAGGCCATTTTGCCGGTCGAGGTCAGTCGTTTTCGGTCCCAGGTCGTTTTCACTAAGGGGAGGTTTACTAAAGGGAGGTTTGTCCGCCGCCGATTTTAGTGCCCCCCCCCTGGGCCCTTCTCAGAAGGCGCTCGCCTTCTAAGAAGTCCCCCCGCCTTCTTAGGAGACCGCCCCCCTCGCGTCATCCAGCCGTGCGTTCCGCCAGGAGGAGGACGGAAGGCCATAGCTTCGCGGTTCGAGGATCGAGGCTTGCTTGTGTTTTTGTTCGCCTTTTTGGGGATGCCTGGGGCCTCCTTGTCGCCACGGCTGGATCTGCAGCGAAATTCTGGTTAAACCGCACCCTTGAAGAGGTCAGGAGTGGATTTTTCAGGAAGGCAGAGGAAGAGAAAGAGCAGGATGATGGGCGACGAGGGTAAGCCCCAGATGTAGCGATGATGCTGTTTTCCGTCGCAGCACGGCAGAGGTAGTCCGCACAGGCGCTCGAGTTGCTGGGGGCGCTCGGCCAACGAATCGTCTGGCCGCAAAAGGGGGGCGCGCGCGCGGAGGAGGAGGAGCGGCCGCGCCGCGGAGGACAGGAGTGAAAGGGGAGAGCGCTCACCGCCAGTGGAGGGAAGGGGGGGGTTCGAGGAGGATTCGAGGAGGATTCGAGGAGGAGGAGGAGGAGGAGGAGGAAGAGAGGGATGAGGAGGATTCGAGGAGGAGGAGGAGGATCAGGAGGAGGAGGAGGAGGAGGAGGAGGAGGAGGACCAGTGTAAACCCAAGAGGGGAGAGCGCTCACCGCAGAAAACATTTCAGGATGAGCGCGCAGGTGCGGCCAGCAAGGGCTGAAGTGGCCTGGCAGTGAATGCGGGAAGGAATCGCGGCCACACCTAGGGGCAGAAGCCAGGGCTGCAGGCGCTGGAAGCGTGAAGAGCCAAGTGGCCCAGGACGTCAGGAAGTACAGCAGGAAGAGGGCCCACGGGGCAGCGGGAGCGGGATTGCCCGTCACGATGCTGGGAACGTCAGTTTTTGTTTCAGATGGCCGGCGTCATCTGGATATGGGACCACGGTCCAGGCGACAACACGAGAAACCCGCAAGGGACTCCGCATAAACGCGTTGGCTGCAGCAAAATGCTACCAGAACAAGCCACCAGGATGCTGTCGACTGCGGGAGCGCGCGGCGGCGGCCCAGGCGGCGCCGTGGTGGTAGTAGTGATGATGATGATGATGATGATGACGAGTAGGAGGAGGAGGAGGAGGAGGAGGAGGAGGAGGAGGAGGAGGAGGAGGAGGACGATGATGATGGTGATAGGGGGATCAGGAGGATGAAGAGCATGAGGAAGAACAGTGATGATGATAACCATGATGCTGATGATGATGATGCTGATGATGATGCTGATGATGATGATGATGATCATCATCATCATCATGATGATGATCATGATGATGATAACGATTACGATTTTGATGCTGAGGATGATAACGATGGTGATGATGATGACGACGATGATGATGCTGATGATGCTGATGGTAATGATGATGCTGACGATGATGATGCTGATGATGATGCTGCTGTTGCTGCTGCTGCTGCTGATGATGATGATGATGCTTCTGCTTTTGCTGTTGCTTCTGCTGTTGTTGATGATGATGATGAGGAGGAGGAGGAGGAGGAGGAGGAGGAGGAGGAGGATGATGCTGATGTCAGAAGGCCGCCCCCCTTATCCCGACACCCCTGTGCGCGCCGCCACACAGCCGCGCCGCCGCCGCCGCGCGCGCTGGAGATGCGGGCGCGTGTAGGGCTCGCGGTGGCGGCGGCGCCCCAAGGAGCGCCTCCACGAGGAGCGCGATCGTGCAGACGCCCTTCGGCGCGAGCTCAATGATCTCCGGATGCGGGCGCGCGGCTTCCTCGAAGGACAAATTGCATAAGCGTAGATTTTCGGAGCGCCGCGTGGCCTTGGATCTGGACTGGAACCCCTTGGCGACGCCGACGGCGCCGCCCCTGGCGCGCTCCTCGCGCCATGGAACGATGCCCAGCGCAGATCCCAGAACTCCGCACGGAGCTCCGAAAGTTTATCTTTGTGCAATGTTTTGTTTCTCTTTTCTCCAGTCGGTGGCGCACGTGGTCTTTCTATCTCATGCTCTCTAAATGCGTATGGTTGCACGTTGATCTTGGTAGGTCTCACTCTTTTGTTCTCTCTCTTTCTCTATTCCCGTCCATGTATGTATGCCTTTCTCTCTCTTGATGCCCGGGCTTTCGCCACACCGCCGACCCCTTGGGGGTGTAGTAGATGCCGTCCGGTGGGGGCCTCGTGTCAGCCTTGTGGGGGTTCTAGTGGGATCTCCTGTGGTCTTCTTGGGGCTGAGGGCTCGGAGTGTCCGATCGGGTCCTTTGGCTGGTTTTCTTTCGGAGTTGGTCTTGGGCGCCTCTGTGGGCGTCGTGGAGGTCACAGCTGCCGTCGAGGGGCCGTCGTGGGGAATTTGCGGGTCCTCTACGACCGTCGGGAAGTTCAAAGCGCGAGATTTCACCAAAACCGCGCACAATGCCCACATAGTCCCGTGTTTGTCGTTGGTCGGGTAGAGCAGGGGGTGTACATCCAGAACGAATACTGACACAGGTCCCAGCGACAGTCGGTCTTCCTCATTCGCACCCGATCTCCCATCGTCCATCCGAAATATGAGTTCATACCATCCCAGCTCAACCGGTGCGTGAATTATCGAAGACGCCTACGGCGAATTACTGCCAACCCCTGCTTTTTTGGAAGCGCTTGCGTGGCCGAAAGTTGGGTTTGAGCTTGGCCAAGCTATCGGGCCAAGCGTTCCCCGAATGGGTTTCGAAAGTCTTCGGGGAACACGGAGTCGGGCGAGCTATCGGACCAGGTGGTTTCCGAGCTTGCGAGCCTCCTGGGAGACGTCTTGGAGGGGTCTTGGGCCGTCTTGGAAGCCTCTGGCGGGCCTTTTGGGCAGTCTAAGGCCATCTTCAGGCCATCTGGGGCCATCTTGGGTGCATCTTGGGGCCATCTTCCCCGTCTTGGAGGCCTTCCTGGAGGAAGTCTTGGAGGCATCTTGGGCGCCTCTTGGACCATCTTGGAACCTCTCGGGCCCATCTTGGGTCATCTTGGCCGTCTTAGCGGCCATCTTGGCCGTCTTGAGGCTCATCTTGACCGTGTTGGAAACATCTTGGAGGCCATCTTGGCCGTCTTGGAGACCGTCTTGGGCGTCTTGGAGGCCTCTGGAGCCGTCTTGGCGCCTTCTTGGGGTCGTCTTGGGGGCCTCTTGGGCAGTCCCGAGGCCATCTTGGAGGCCTCTTGGGCGCTCTGGGGGCGATATTTCGGGCTCCCTGGGCCGTCGTGAGCCGTCGGAAGGCTCGAAAAGAACAAGAGCCAAAATCCTTCAAAACCCTTAGGGGAAACATTGATTTTGACCTCTTCGGGCTCTCGTGGAGGGCTTTCTTGGAGGCCTCTTCGGCCGTCTTGGAGGCCTCTTGGAGGCCTCTGGGGCCTCTTGGGCCGTCTGAGAGGTTTCTTGCGCGAACTTGGAGGCGTCTTGGACTCTCCTGGGCCGTCTTGGAGGCCATCTTGGACCATCTTGGGCGAATCTGGAGGCCATCTTGAGCCATCTTGGCCATCTTGGAAGCCATCTTGGAGCCATCTGGAGCAAAACGAACTTTCGGAACCACCCTTTCCGGGCCATTCCGGGACCCCAGAGGGCGGGGCCGAACCCCCAAGGGGAGTTCTTTTGGAAAAAGAACCAAAACCAAAAGCGAAACGATTCAGCACGCCAGGCACTCCTGTGATGAATCAACAGGGGGCGGCGGATGCTTGTATTAGTATCGAAGACGCTTACGGCAAATCACCGCCGCCCCCTGCCTTTAGAATCGCCCATGTGGCCGAGCGTTGTGGCACTATCGGACCATGTGTTCCCCCAGCCGTTGTGGAAACCCTTCGGGGAACACTTGGGGGAAGATGGCGGGGAAGATCAGGAGGAGGCGGAGGATGAGGAGGAGGAGGAGGAGGAGGAGGAGGAGGAGGAGGAGGAGGGGTCATATTGGGAGCCTCTGGGGACACTCTTGGGGCCTCCTGGGAGCTTCCGGGAGCCTTTTGGGAGCATCTTGGGTACCTCCTTGGGCCTCTTGGGGGCCTTTGGGGGCTTCCCGGGGGCCTCTTTGGTCGTCTTGGTGGGCTCCTGGCCCGTCTGACGCCGTCGGAAGCCGTCGGGGGGACCTCCCTGGGCCGACTTGGGGCCCTCATTGGGGTGCTCCACGGCCGTCTTGGAGGCCATCTTGGGCGTCTTAGAGGCCTCTTGGGCCGTCTTGGAGGCCATCTTGGGGCCGTCTTAGAGGCCTCTTGGGCCGTTTTGGGGCCATCCTGGAGGCCTCTTGGGCGATCTTGGGGCGATCTTTGGGGGCTCTTGGACCGTCTCGGGCCGTCGGGGGGCCGAACAGAAGCAAATGCTCAAATGCGTGAAAACCCTAAGGACAATGAATGATTTTGGCATCTTCGGGCCTTCCTGGGGCCCTCTTGGAGGCCTCTTGGGCCGTCTTGGGCCACCTTAGAGCCATCTTCGGCCGTCTTGGTGGGCTCGTGGCCCGTCTGACGCAGTCGGAAGCCGTCTTGGAGACCTTTCTGGGCCGACTTGGGGCCTCGTGATCCAGGGCCGTCTTGGAGGCCATCTTGGGCGTCTTAGAGGCCTCTTGGGCCGTCTTTGGGCCCTCTTGGGGCCGCTTCGGGGCCTCTTGGGCCGTTTTGGGGCCATCCTGGAGGCCTCTTGGGCGATCTTGGGGCGATCTTTGGGGGACTCTTGGGCCGTCTCGGGCCGTCGGAAGGCCGAACAGGAGCAACTACGAAAATCCTTCACACACTTAAGGAAGATCAATGATTTTGGCCTTCTCGGGCCTTCCTGGAGACACTTTTGGAGGCCTTTTGGGCCGTCTTGGGCCATCTTAGAGCCATCTTGGGCAGTTTTGGTGGGCTCCTGGCCCATCTGACGCCGTCGGAAGCCGTCGTGGGGGCCTCTCTGGGCCGACCTGGGGCCCTCATTGGAGTGCTCCACGGCCGTCTTGGAGGCTTCCTTGGGCGTCTTAGAGGCCTCTTGGGCCGTCTTTGGGCCCTCTTGAGGCCGTCTTGGGGGCCCCTTGGGTAGTCCCGAGGCCATCTTGGATGCCTCTTGGGCGCTCTGGGTGGGGATCTTTGGGTCCTCTTGGGCCGTCTTGGTTCGTCGGAGGGCCGAACAGAAGCACATGCGAATATCTTTCAAACACCAAAGGCAGATCATTGATTTTGGCTTATTCGGGCCTTCCTGGAGGACGTCTTGGAGGCATCTTGGGTTGTCTTGGAGGCATCTTGGGCGCCTCTTGGGCCACCTTCGGCTCTCTTGGGGGTACTTCTGCAGTCTTGGATGCCATCTTGGTCGTCGTCTTGGAGGTCATCTTGGCAGTCTTGCCATCTGGGAGGCCTCTGGGACTAGGTTGGGGCCTTCTTAGGCCGTCTTAGGCGGTCGGAACACACAAACCGAGGAAACACACTAATCTTTCAAACACCTCAAACACCTAAGGACAATTTAAGATTTCGGCTCCCTCTTGGATCGTCCTGGGGCTATTTTGGAGGCTTCTTGGGCACCCTTGGGGCGATCTTGATGAGCTCTTGGGCCGTCTTGGGCTGTCGAAAGGCCGAAAAAGAGCAAAAGCCAAAATCCTTCAAAAACCTTAGGGAAAACAAATGTTTTGACCTATTCGGGACGTCCTGGAGGAACTCTTCGAGGCCGCTTGGGCCGTCTTAGAGGCCTCTTGGAGACCTCTTGCGCCGTCCTGAGCCGTCTTAGGTGTTTCTCGTGCGAACTTGGAGGCATATTGTACTCTCTTGGGCCGTCTTCGAGGCCATCTTGGACGAACTTGGAGGCCAGCTTGGGCCATCTTGACCATCTTGGAGGCCATCTTGGAGCCTTCTGGAGCCGAAAAAACCTTTGCAACCACCTGTTACGCATCTCCCGCGGGACGGGCCGAACCCCCAGGGGGGGTTCTTTTGGCAAAGAACCAACACCAAAAGCGAAAGGGTCTAGCACGCCGGGCACCCGTGTGATGAATCATCAGGGGGCGGCGGATCGAAGACGCCTACGGCGAATCACCGCCGCCCCCTGCCTTCGTGGAGGCGCCTATGTGGCCGAAAGTTGGGTTAGAGCTTGGCCAAACTATCGGACCATGTATTCCCCGAGTTTGTTTGGAACGCCTTCGGGGAACACGTGGTCGAGGAAGAGGAGGATAATGAGGAACAAAGAGAAGGGGGAGGAGGCCTCTTCGGAGCCTCTTGAGGCACTCTTGGGCTCGATTGGGCCACCTTGGCGGTCTTGGATGCATCCTGGGGCCGCCTTGAAGGCCACATTGGGGCCATCTTGGGCTCTCTTGGGGCCTCTTGGGTGTGTCTTGGGGGCGTTTGGGCGCCTCTTGGGGGCCTCTTTGGCCATCTTGGGCTTTTCTGAACCAACTTGGGGTCCTCTTGGGGCGCTTCGGGGCCGTCTTGGAGGCCATCTTGGGCGTCTTGGAGGCCTCTTAGGCCGTCTTTGGGCCCTCTTGGGGCCGTCTTGGGGACGTCTTGGGCCGTCCTGGGACCATCTTGGAGGCCTCTTGGGCGCTCTTGTGGCGATCTTGATGTCCTATTGGACCGTCTTGGGCCGTCGGAGGACCGAAAAGCAGCAGATTCCCAAATCCCCCCACAACCAAAAGAATATCTATGAATTGTGCCTTTGGGTGACCTCTCTTGGCACGTTTTGGCGGCCTCTTGGGGGCCTCTGGGGCAGTCTGGGGCCTTCGTGAGGCCATCTTGGGCAATCGTGAGTGCATGTTGGGCCAGTTTTGGAAACATCTTGAATCAATGTTTGGTTTTCTTGGGGCCATCTTGGCC